AAAACTGCATCACTTTACAGCAGCACTAGTTAGAAAATGCAATTTTAGAAAATATACTATTAGAGAACCAAGATGGCGGCATAAGGTATATACTTATATGTGCTGCCCCCCACAACCACATTAAAACTACAACTAAAAGACAAACAGCCATCATCCAGAACCAGGGGAAAGCTGACTGAGTGGAAGTTCTACAACTAGAAGGAAAGAAAAAAGCGCATTGAGGCTGGGTAGGAGATGCGGAGGCGCCAAGAACAGAGATACAGAGGCGCGTGAAACGGCGGCACCTGGGTGCACGGTTTTTTTCAATCGGAAGGAAGATACAAGCTCTCGACTGAACTGAACTCGTTTCTGGTGAGACTCTAGGGACCCAGACTCCTACGGGGAGAAACTGGGCTGTCTGGCATTGGGTTGGAAAGCGAGGGTAGCTTTCTCGCAGAGCTGCTCGCAGGGATCATTGTTACTGTGGGGACGCAGGACTCCGGGATTCGGAGACGAGAAGATGCAGAGACGCGGAGACGGCTGACTGACAGCCATCACTGTTTGCTCCGCCCTGGTGATTCTCTGAGACCCTGCCCCACCCAATTTACAACTCCACCCAAGCTGTGCGCACCAGTGCAAATGAATCGCTTGTCCGCCCACAGCCTAACCTAACAAACTGCAGCTGAGTCAGAGAGCTCCAAAAGTTCCAAACGCCAAACAAAGAGAAATCTGTAGATCTCGCTGTAGCTCCTGCTGGGTGAACTCACACAACAACTGACTTTGCACCTCCTTGGAGATCCAGGAGCCAGTGTACCCAGTGGTCAGATACCAGATTTCAACTCCTCACATCCATAAGTGACACACTCAAGAGGCAGACTCAGTGAGCACCAAAGCCCCACTGAAGCAAGTCCTGTCCCATAAGGGTGTCTCCTGCACAAAAGTTCTTCCACTATAGACACAGCAGGTCCTCGCAGTCAATTGGCCTAGAGGTCATTTCCTCCCAGGGATACCAACAGCAATCAAGGCTTAACTACAACAAGACTGTGCACCCAGCCCACAAAGGGGTACACCAAGAGTGTCCACCTCAAGTGATTGGGGAGGCTGAGCCACTGGGCCCAATAGGACACCTACCACACAAAGCCACTCTATCAACACAGGGAAGCAGCCAAAATGTGGACACAAAGAAACAGGTCACAAATGAAAGGAAAGGAGGAAAGCAAACTACTGGATATAGAGTTCAAAACCACAGTTATAAGGTTACTCAAGAATCTTCTACGAACCTCCGAGGAACTTAGTGAGACCTTAAAGGATCTTAATGAGAATGCCAAAAAAATGGAAAAGGACCAGTGAGAAATTAAGCATACACTGACTGAAATAAAGAATAATTTACAGAGATCCAACAGCAGACTAGAGAATCCCAAGAATCAAGTGAAAGATTTGAAATATGAGGAGGCAAAAAAAAAACAACCCATCCTGAAAAGCAAAAAGAAAAAAGAATCCAAAAATATGAAAATAGTGTAAGGAGCCTCTGGGACAACTTCAAACGTACCAACATCCAAATTATGGGGGTGCCAGAAGAAGAGAGAGAGCAAGATATTGAAAGCCTATTAGAAGAAATGACAGAAAACTTCCCCTACCTGATGAAAGAAATAGACTTACAAGTCCAGAAAGCAAAGAGAACCTCAAATAAGAGGAATCCAAAGAGGACCACACCAAGACACATCATAATTAAAATGCCAAGGGCAAAAGACAAAGAGAGAATCTTAAAAGCAGCAAGAGAAAAACAGTTAGTTACCTACAAGGGAGTACCCATACGACTGTCAGCTGATTTCTCAACAGAAACGTTGCAGGCCAGAAAGGAGTGGCAAGAAATATTCAAAGTGATGAATAGCAAGAACCTACAACCAAGATTACTCTACCCAGCAAAGCTATCATGTAGAATTGATGGTCAGATAAAGAGCTTCACAGACAAGAAAAACCTAAAGGAGTTCATCACCACCAAACCAGGATTATATGAAATGCTGAAGGGTATTCTTTAAGAAGAGGAAGAATAAGAAAAAGGTAAAGATAAAAATTATGAACAAAGTGACAACAAATACATATCTATCAACAAGTGAATCTAAAAATTAAGTCAATAAAAAAATCTGATGAACAGAATAAACTGGTGAATATAATAGAAGCAGGGGCACAGAAAGGGAATGGACTGACAATTCTCAGGGGGAAGGGGGTGGGGGGTGCGGGAAGAGATTGGACAAAAATCTTACACCTATGGATGAGGACAGTGGCGGGAGGTAAGGGCATGGGGTGGGGTGGGAACTAGTTGGAGGGGAGCTATGGGGGTAAAAAAAAGAGGAACATCTGTAATAATCTGAACAATAAAGATTTTTAAAAAAAGAAAATATACTATTTAAAATAACAAAAAATATCTAGCAATATATCTCACAAGAGACATGCAAGATCCTCCTGTAGAAAATTATAAGCCTCAAATGATAAACTTAAAGAACTAAATAAATGGAGAAATGCACAATGGTCACAAGTAGGAAGACTCAATGTCGAAAAAGATACAAAACTTCCCTAAGTGAATCTATAGACTTCATACAAGTCCAAACAAATACAAGAAAAATTTTTGTTTAACTTGACAGTTAAATTCTAAAATTTATGAGAAAATTCAATTATCAGTCAAGGCCTAGATCAATTCTTAGAATTTTTTTTTTTAAGCTGAAGAAACAGGAATTTTGAGGCCTTTAGCCCTTTTGGATTTCCTCCTGGATAAATAAGTTAACATTCTTCAGAAATTCTATGGAAATCAAGACTTCTCCGGAAATGGACAGGGAACTCTTAGTCCCAGGAGAGTGCTAAGCACATGACAGTGATCTTGGGGCAGAACATCCTGTGGGCTGCCATTCTATATTCCTATCCCATGGGAAACTGCTATTTAAGATGTTCCCACCAGGAATCAACCTTACCCACATTTTTAGCACTCAGTGTTGCTCTTTCTACAAAATCTCTGGAAGCAACTTACAGCAGATCCCTGTTGAGCTTTTTTGTTGTTGCTGTTAATCCTCACCTTCCCATTGATTTTTAGAGAGAGTGGAAGGGAGGGGGAGAGACACACAGAGAAAGAAATATCAATGTGAGAGAGACACATGGATTGGTTGCCTTCCACACGAGCCCCAACCAGGGCCAGGGACTGAGCCTGCAACTGAGGTATGCCGAAATCAAATCTGAGATCTTTCAGTCTGCAGGCCGACACGCTATCCACTGAGCCAAACTGGCTAGGACCCTGTTGAGCCTTTTAATAACCATTCCAGCTACTTTATGGAATTCATTTGTCAAAAAATATAAATTGATGTCACACTAGATGGTATGACCAACCTCCTTCTACCAGGGCTCATCACTGTTGGCAGAGAGTATCTCAGCTTATATCCAAGGGGACTTGGCAAATACTCCAATGAGAGGGTCCATTCTTGAGTCATTCAAAGCAGCATAAGCAGCCTGGCCATCTTGTTTCTTTAGAACCTCTCTTGCTGCCTACTAATGCGGGAATAAGTATAATCCTTGCTTCCCCGTGCATCGAGTTTTTGGTTTACCAATATCACACTTTTCAAGGTTGAAGAGATCTCCCAAATCACCTTAGTTTCATCCCCTGATGCTCTCTGCACCTTCTCCAGCTCCTCCTTTTCTTTCCTGTCATTATGATAAAGGCCAGCAAACCCCCAAGATACTTCACTCATCTGAGCAGCGGGACAAAGTTGCCACGGGTACCTACCTGGTGGCATGGAGAAGGTGCCCAAGTGTGGGTGAGTCCCCAGTTCACAAACATGGCTGAGGATGAGAAAGTACTAGTGTGGTTATTTGGTCATCGGGCAGAGAATGTGTGTTCTCTTCCTGAGCAGAGGGACAGCCTCTCACTAGATGGGCTCCAAACTCAAGCTGGATCATGGTCTGAGCTGAGTAAGGATTGGGTGTTTGGTGTCTTTGGATGGCAAGGCAGAGACAGAGAAAGGGAAAGGAAGATGGAAAGAGGAGAGAGGGAGAGAGAGAGAGAGAGAGAGAGAGAGAGAGAGAGAGAGAGAGAGAGAGAGAGGAAGAGGAAGAGGAAGAGGAAGAGGAAGAGGAAGAAGAAGAGAAAGAGAAAGAGACAGAGACAGAAAGAGAAAGAGGAAGAGAAAGGCCTTAGAAGGGCCATATTCCAGAAGACAAGCTAACAGTTACCTGAGGAGAAAAGGTGAAAGAAACAAGTGGCATTAAAATATCAGAGTTACCTAGGAAAGTCCAATTTTCCTTTCTATTTCAGGAGTGTCAATGCACCTCTGCAGAATAATGAAAAGGACGTAAATTGAGTAAAAATATCACCACGCAATCTCGTGTTGAAATGTATGCATGGATTTAAGGCCTCCCTCCAGGCTCTTCTGCCCTCTCTCTCCCGAGCTCTAAGCTGGATTTGACCTTCTATAGATTGGCACTGCCAATGTCTGCAGACCTTTGCAGGCTGCTCTTCTTGTAGCTATGACTCAATATTTGAAAATATGATGCCAACTCTTCTCAACCATTCTCACGTCTGAGGTTAAAGGTGAAGATCTCATGAGGAATGCCTCTGAACTGAGCTGACCTGAGAACATGGGTAAGGACTTGTGCTCTTTGCTGCAGATTACGGTCAATAGGATGCCAGGATCCACTTAGCAAAAACAACCTAAGAAAACTCTAAAGAAAATGTGGTAAGGAGAGCAGATAATATGTACTGTCTATTAGAGAATTGCTGAGAATTAGAAAGTAGAAAAGAGCGAAGGTTATTCTTGTATATTGTTTTCATCAATAATTCTTGGAAATTTCAGAGTGAATATTGTTAAAGCCCTGTTTCTAGAAAGACATGAGGAGGTTCTGAAGCCATAGTTTTATGTATATTGACATGAATTTCATACTTTGCCCCCCCAAATAAAATAAGGTGTAAGTCATTTAATCGCATGCTGACCAAGAAACACCTCCACAACTCCCCCCAAAAGAAGAAATGCTGGACTTACGTTGGTGACATATTCGATGTCCTTCCAAAGGATGCACTCCCTGGGGAAATCAGCCAAGTCTAAGAAGTGGTCCACCACCACCTGGCCGATTAGGTCGTGGCGGGAGAACCTGTCAAAGTCATACACAGAGAAGTGCAGTTTCCGGGCCTCAAGGTCGTTGTAGGGAACCGGAAACAGAAACACTTCGTCAAACACAGGGTTCAGGGTCTTCCTGTGAACTTTGGTCTGGTGTTTTGTTTTCCGATCCGGAAGCAAATAGATCTTGACGTAAGGATCTGAGGTCCCAGAAAAGTCCTTGGCGGGCAAATTGACGGCTTTGTGAATCTTCACTATGAGCTGCTCTAGGTCACAGTCATATTTTAAAATAAAGTTCAGTTTCCCACAGGCTTTGCTGTTACTCCTTCTCCCATCATCGCTGTCCAGTGACCTCTGCTTGTATAACTCCGGTTTAATGCGGCCGATCCCGGCCAGCTGTTCTTGTTTTTGCAGTTGCTGGATATTGAAGTCCGGGTTCGACAGGTTGAGTTGTCCTCGGATTGAATTATGCCTTCAGTGAGGAGCAAGAGAGGACAAAGTTATAACCTCATTAGCTACAGGTCTTTCAGAAACGTGTGCCTGGGATGTAGGTAGACTGGACTGTTACGCACTGTTAAAAACTTAGATCTGTGGGCCCTTTTTTGGGGGGGGGGGGTAGGGGGGCGAAATTCAATATGCTCATCAATGTGAGTAAGCTTCTCCCCAAGGCTTGAAACCCAAAATTGAGGGCTGGTGTCAGGAAATGAAATGATTACCTGTGACCTTGGAGCTTTAAAGGTTTAATGCACTTTCTCAACTGATAAACCATTAAGAAAGCTTATCTGGCCGGTGGGATGTAAAGATTTGTTCACACTGGTTTAAAAATAAAATTATTCACTTTTATATACAATGTCATCCTGGAACTGAAATAACTGTCTGTGCGTCTTCTTAAGAAGAATGATTCCGTCTCTAAATAGCACAGACTTTCCTATCACCGGCTTACCGCTTTCTAAGGCTGTATATTCTTACTGCTTCAAATCAGATCATTTCCTCACGAGAACACAAGTTTTGCTTGTGTGAGGGTGGATGTATGGGACAGGACGTGTCTGCTCGCAGTGGACCGCGTCGGCTCTGACAGGGGCGAGTGACAGCTCTGTGAGTGTCCGCAACGCCACGTGGGTCACTGCTGGGCAGCAGGAAGAGTTTATTTCTGTAATAAACACTACGGGCATCAAAGGGAAGGGAAGCTGCTAAAAATGTATACAAGGATTCAGTCAGGGAAGGCTGGATACCGACACTTGCAAATCAAATATTTGCTAACAGAATCGACTCTTCACCCAGTACTAGTAAGCTTATTGGTTTGGGCTAGAAGCTTCCCAGAAATTCTCTTTGAAATGTGCATCATCGTGTGGGTTTTGGTAAACGGAAAGAAGCAGTCATTACATACAAGATTTTTCTTATGGCCATTTTTGTTTGTCTTTAGCTCAGATTTCAGAGTCATGATACTGTATTTTCTGTAGTCTCTCAATAATCTTAATTAAAATAGCCTTTCGCCACCGGGTCAAAAGCAACAGCCGGCCGTCTCAGATGGATTGGTAAATATGTAGTTGGAGAGGCAGAATAAATATTTGAGTTGATCTTGTTTTCCTTTCTGAAGGCTACTTTATAAAATAAAGATGTAAAAGTGGGATAAATAGCCACCGAGACATGGCTAAAACTATTCTCCCTTGTCATTCAGATGTTGCTATGCTGAACATTCCTCTTTGTCCTAAAATACACTCCTAGTCACTGAGCTGGTATAACAAGAGCACAATCACAGAGCTGCCATTTGCACCTGTCACAGCCAACACAGTCCCCCACAAGCAGACACATACCCCAGGCACGGACATTGCCACGTGAGTAAAAACTGTGTGGTCTGAAAGTTTTTGCTGTGAGATTTTAATTTCCTGCAGAGAAATCCACAACCTTAAGTTTCCTCTGTATCTCTGATTTTTCAGGGGTAGGGAGAGAGATGGCAGATGCTCTTAAGCACCTAAATGGCCTCTCTGTGCAAGTATAGCTCAGTCACTCCCTTGTGGAGATGCTAACCTCTGGAGTGCCAGAACAGAGCTTTAGTCTTGCTCTGCTGGGATCTCTGGGCAGAAATGACTGGCAGGGAGCAGCGAGTACCCAGCCCTATGCAGAGGCCTTAAGGGGCTGGTACCAGCTCTGGCTTCCTCTGCTATTGCTTTTTCCCTCCAGGCTGGCTTCACACAAGGGCCACGTTGGGGTCTGGAGTCAGCATCTATGATGGCCATTCTGGGAACTCTCAGTGACGCTGTTTAAATACTAAAAGTGCTCCATCTAGACCCACGGGATACGCCTTCTCTGCACCAGCGTCTGTGATGGGATGCTGGTCCTGAGTCCACGCCAGCCCCAGACTCTGCTGTCACTTCTCCCCCGAGGTGCTCTGAGCAGGCTCTCTGTGCATCGCAACTTACCTTCGATGTTTTGGAAAGACTGGCTTCAGATTCATCACAGGAACATTTTGTCTTAACCCTTATCTGCAGGACGAAGCCAGCCACGTACATTTACATTTTAATTTAAACCTACATGAATTTGGCTGCTTAGCAATGGAACATACTCTGTTTTCCTCATACATTTTCTTAAGACATGAAATCTGAAGAGAAGTAAGTCCTACATGTTTCGCTGTTCCCGACCAGGGGGTAGACGGAGTGCATTGGGGAGGGCGTTAGGGAGAGATTTGTATTTCAAAGACCAAAACATCCCCTCAGAAAGCAATTAGGATGCCTCCATTCCAAATTCCAACACAGCTGAAGATTTCTTTTAAAAATTGAGCGCAGGTATGAATACTATTATCCACCCAAATGTTATATATGAGTTTCATTCCCAAACTCCCCCCGCCCCCATTCAGAATCACACTTACTTTGGGGAAAACAGTGGAACCTACTGTAAGGCAGTGGCTTAAAGCAGAGAGCAGGGACTGTAACAGGCCAGGACAGTTCTCACTCCCTGGGGCTCTCTTTCAGTCGCTTTCAATTTCCCTTCAGGAGAGAGTCAGCGATTCCGGGAGTTGGAGGCATGGGCTAGAGATGCTCAGGGCAGCCAGAGAACCAAGGTAACTCATCACCTCCCTGCATACTCTCTGCAGCTCTCTGGACTGAGAAATGAGAAAGTAGAGCAGGGAGCCTGCCCCAGGGACATGGAGGAGAAGGGAGGTAGAGGAAATGGAAAATCAATATTCCATGGCTCTCCTGGGCTATTCAAATGGAGTTGGGAAGATAAGCAAGTCAACAGCAAGACAGAGGAAAGATTCAGAACAGAGTGTTGTGGCCTGGCTCTGGGCACCCAGATGAGGAATTCTGAAATGGTCAGTGGAGGTGGTACTTGAGCGCACTAAACTAGAGGCCTTGCCCCGCCCACCAAGGCTCTAGGATTTGAATGCTGCTGAGTGACACTGAGAGTGTGATAAGGAGGGATCTGTGTCCCAGGCAGGTGTCCACTGAGCAGGGCTGGGGAGTCCAGTATTTTGGTGTTCTCAGGGCTTAATGTATACAATGAATGGAAGGAGAGGAGGTGAGCCCCAAGGATGGGTGTGATAAGGAATGCTGTACCTACATTTCACCCTAACGCTGTCTTAGAAAGCTGGCCCTGGAGTTGAAACTCTCAGCATGGTCCACCTCCCATTAGAGGCCAGTTTCCTGTCTGAAAGAGGCCAGGATGAGAATTTCCTGGACGTGGCTGTCCCAGACCCGAGCTGGAAGACTCGTGGTTGGGCCTGAAGAAAGCCTAATTTCAAAGATGACTAACAAAATCTATGAAGCAGACTTCCCCTAACAAACTCAAAAACACGCTTCCATGCCTGAAGGGATCTGAGCCTGTGGTTCAGTTGCAGCTAAAGGTCAGGAGCCGCAGGTGCCCAGATGCAAATGGCTTTTCCTCGCCCCCTTCCCTCAGATTCAAATGAACTACGTCCAGCGTCCCACGTTGAGACCCCCAAAGTCTCAGTCCCAGAGCCATCACCCAAAGGCCAACTTCCTCCACTGGATCTTAAGAAAGAGAACATTACTGTGATTCAACAAATTTGGATGTGCAAAGCAAGGTGTCAGGTAGGGTAGGAGGGAGAGAGAGGCAAACCTCTTTAATGCCTTCAAGGAAATGACGCCCAGGCGGGTGATGAGATAGTCATACACTAACTATAAATCAGGGCAGAGGGGGATTAAAAACCCCATGACTGGAGGTTAGAGAGCCACAGAAGCAGACAGAGGGGAAAAAAAATGCCTCTGGCTCGGGAAACTGTCATGGAGGAGATGGAACTTGAGCTGAGCCTGCCTACTTAACTTGGCCTCATCCTTATCAGCCTTCAAGCTGACACTCTAGACCTCAACAGGGAAATTAACTGTGTTTTCCTCTTGGTCCCCAGCTCTCCAGCAAGATGAGGTCTCCAGCTCTTCTGCCCCAGCAGCTTTCTCCTAACATCTGGCACTCAGACCGCCAGCATCCTTCCCATCACTGGATTTCCCCTGTGCAGCCACAGACAAGGGTACACTCTTCTATCCTCCCGCCTCTCAGGGCCCCCATCTCAGAGGTGAAACTTGGTCGATCTTTTCCCCAGTTCTGGGGCATCCATGTTGACAAGGCTTCAGGGTCCAAGGAGAGGGAAGAGAGAAGCAAATTGTTATTTCGGAACCATCATGGGTTTCTTTACTAAGTTCAAGTCAAGACAGGGAGGTTTGGAAACACTGGGGACAGGATTCTGTTTCCCTTCTTGAAACTCCCCTGGTGATGGGGAGGAGAGAGTTGGGTTGTCCTGATCCACAGGCAGACACCAAGGAAGTGGAGTGGCAGACAGGACAGACGCAGTGACCTGATTACAGGGCAGGATGGGGAATCTGAAGCTTTCCTGTAATGGGATTCACAGGCTTCTAGAGCAAGTGAGAAAATGATGATGTAGGCATCAGGCCTTGGCCAGTGGAGGTGTGTGGTCAGGTATAGGTAGATACACTAAAGCATAACCAGCTTCTTCCCACTTCCTCCCAAGCAAAACAGGTTTAAAACCTTGGTGTCACCTTCCAATATTGTGCCCCCCAAGACTAAGGTGAGCCTATGTCCCGCATTCCTGAGATTAGCCTTAGTATGTCCCCAATTAGTCTGCAGGCGTTTGAGGCCAGAGCTAGATCTTTTTTCTCTTTATTATTAGCATATAATGTAGAATTTTGCACACAGCAGATGCTTAATGCATGCGTCTAAAGTAAATATAGGAATGCCACAGACATAACAGTTTCCTATAATTAAATCCCAGTCCAGAAAATACACATTTACATCTAGTTGAAGAGGTCTACATAACTTCCACTTTTGAAGGTGTCAGTATATTAAAATCTGAAGAAGTAACTAAAAGAGTAATTCAAAAAATTGTTTTAAATGTTTCTATCTAACCAATGCTCTCAACACAAAACAGTCTAGCTTAATAGAATTGTGCTACTCACCGAGTAATTACAACATTTCATCCTAGTGGCACCACTTAAGTAGCAAGTAATAGGATGATTTAAATTTAAAGTATGATGACTGTCTTCTTTCAGTTTGGTCAGTGTATTCGGTGACTGTAGGAATTGCTTAGTTCAGAGATAAGGCCGGGAGTCTGAATGTAAGGCTCTAAATGAATGTGAGACCTGGTACACCAGCCTCATACCATTCTGGCCCCTGCTCAGTTTATACTTTTGGCTCTTTGTCAGTCCTGTCAGCAGAACACAGAGAAGTGGCCTGATATTGATGAATGTGTTATCAGTCATTCACAAAAAGTCTGCTATGTGCCAGAGGCCACACCTGGGGTTACATATTTAGGGAGAAACAAGGTAGGTGGGTGGTCTTTGAGCTCACAGAACTCATAGTCTAGAGCAGTGGTTCTCAACCTTCTGGCCCTTTAAATACAGTTCCTCATGTTGTGACCCAACCATAAAATTATTTTCGTTGCTACTTCATAACTGTAATGTTGCTACTGTTATGAATCGTAATGTAAATATCTGATGTGCAGGATGGTCTTAGGCGACCCCTGTGAAAGGGTCATTCGACCGCCAAAGGGGTCGCGACCCACAGGTTGAGAACCACTGGTCTAGAGGGAATGTAGGCAATAAATAATAATTTAGTTTAAAATGGAGCTCAATCCTGTGAAGAAGTGAAAGCAAGGCAATGTGTGAGAGAATGAAGAGTGGGAGGGAATGGAGGAAAGAACACATGCTTCAGACAGGGTGATCAGGGAGGCCTTTCTGAGGAGGTGACATTTTAGGTGGGAATGAAGGCTGCAAAGGAGCCAGGTGTGGCAAAGAAAAAGGAAAAGCATTTCAGGCTGAGGGAACAGCCCGTGTGAAGGCCTGAAGGCAGGAAAGGTCTGGAGACACTGAGGCTGCTAAGAGAGAAGCTAGAGTGTGATGAGCTTTTTCACGCAAGCTTCCTACTGAGTCCACGTTGACAGTGCCCTCTGGGCTGTGCCACGTGGTGGCCTGGCCCAGAGGTGAGGCTGACAGCGGATAGAAGCGGCACACAGAGCCTCCACAGATTTGATAAGGAGTTTGTGGTGTGGCAACTGAAATTTTTACAAAACTCCAGAAAGTGGTGCACTAGGGTGAAATGTAGTTACCCTATGAGCAGCACAATTCTATTCAGCTAGACTGTGTTGCATTGGGAGCATCAGTTAGATAGAAACATTTAAAAGAACCACTTTCGAAGTACTCATTTAGTGCTTGCTTCAGATTTTCATAAATTGACAGCTTCAAAAATGGACCTCAGACCTCTCTCAACCACCATGAGAACCTGAAACTAGATGTAAATGTGTATTTGCTCTGCTGGGATTTAATCATCAGAAATAATTATGTCCATGGCACCCTTATGTTTACTCTGGAAACACACATCATAGATGACAGAGGAAACTTGAGAAGGCTTGAAAAACAGATTGGACCTGCATCGTGGGACGTAAGTCAGAGACGGGAGTAGATGGCCTGCCAAGGTTCCTTCTGTTTGGAGGATCCAGGGTTTTCATATATTTGGAATACAGACCTGTAAAATGTCCTGGGAATTCTGGGGCGGGGGGGGGAACCCCACCCACATTCCCAGGATATTAGAGAGATTTCATTATACAAGAGAGATTTCACCTAAATTAAAAAGAATTAAGAAGAATTTTGGAGGTTTCTAATAGTAATGGTGCTAACTAGAAAGAGAATGCTAAGGTGTTTGATATTGGAAGAACAAGAGAAAGTCACCTTGACCAGAAATATTCTTAGAAGATGAAACAAAGCTTATCGTCAGAACATTCCAAAAGGCATTGGTGGAAGCACATATGTGCAAGCTGAAGAGGCCAGGTGTGGGTGTGTGTGTGTGTGTGGTGTGTGTGTGCGCGCGTGCGTGTGTGCATGTGCGTGTGTGAGTTGTGTGTGGTGTGTGTGTGTGTGTGTGGTGTGCGTGTGCACATGTGTGTGCACGCGTGCACGTGTGTGTGCGTGTGTTTGTGTGTGTGTGGTGTGTTTGTGTGTGTGTGGTGTGTTTGTGTGTGGTGTGCGTGTGGTGTGCGTGTGCGTGCATGCGTGCGTGTGTGTGTGTGTGTGTGTGTGTGTGTGTGTGTGGCGGTGGGGGGGAGGGGAGTTTCTGATGGAAATGCTGTGACAGAAGCCATGCCAACTGCAATGCCCTTAACCGCCAGTCTAGGCCAAGGAGGTGTCCTGGGAATTTTGGGACAAGTGATAACAGCCGCAGGAAGGAAGCAGTAAGACAGGAAGTGCAGCAGTGAGAAGGTAAAGAACACAGGAGAAAGAAGAGAGAAGAAATAGTAACTAGCAGAGCAGACTACTTAGCGTCATCTCAGCAAAGAGTTCCTTCCCCCTCCCCAAATAGGGAATCAAAAATGTGACTTAAAAAAAGGTGTTAAAAATGTTTTGGAGCATGAAGGACATTTTACTAATTTCCCCCATTTTGTCACTGTGTGTGTTATAACACAATTCCTAGAGAATTACAAGACCATACACCATTCTTACAGTAATACCATCAGCAAAGATGTGTGTTTCCAGACAAAACTCATAAAAGGAGTTCAGTAGTAATTTAGATAAGTATTTTAAATGCATAATGACACACATTATCAGTATTAGGTCATATGCAGATGGAAAGAGTTTAGTTTTCTGATAGTAGTTCAGCTAGAACTAAGCTTGTTTTGGCCATCAGAAAAGGTAATTTAATTGCATGACTCCAAAACAAAAATCAATCTAAATGCAGTAAAATATATTTTACAGGAATAATTCCATCTCTCTTCTCTTTTTACTTATTTTTTTCCTTTTAGCTAATGTCTACAAATCAGTGGTGAAGATATCTATAGTTTTTATTTTTAAATACAATCTCTTTTTGATATGCAGAGCCCTTACACACTTTTCTAGAATAAATACTGTGGTAATCAGAGTGATGTGGTTGCTATCAATTCATCAGAATGATGGCAGAGTCCTCAGATCTACAATCTAATAAAAACCCAGCACATCACCCTGTGTCGAGGGGACCCAGATCAGAACAATTAACACGCAGAGTAAAACCAAATAGGAGACAGTTTCAATGGGAACCCCCTCTGACAGGCCCCAGTTATTGGAATACTGAGATTTTGTTATGAGTGTACCGCTGCGTGAGCCCCACAGCACCATCGAGGAGCTCCAGTTATACTTAAGTGTTAAAGCTGAAGAGAAATCCTAGCAATAGAATCCGAGGATTTCTTCTAAACCAAAAGGCAAACAACCACCCCTTTCCTCGCAGAGGAACAGCTTAGGTTTAGCTCTTTGACTCAGAATTGGAAATGATGCTAAAGTGGGTTTCTGAAAAAATTAAATTACAAACTGTCATATTCCATCCTACTTAATGTGAATGAGCAGAGCTTCCAGGATATACTCGATTAACATTTAAAAGGGTAAAATCTTATTGCTGTTTCTAGAGAACAAATAAAAAAGATTTTTTAAAAATCCCCCCAAATTGTGCTCCGACTTTCTAAATAACAGCACATGCTTTTCAGCTCTGACTATTGCTCAAGCAAATATTCTCATTTTTAAAAAGCTGCTTCCCAGGTCTCTTTTCCTATAGTCTCTTATTGAAAGTGAATTTTTATATCCAAAGATTCAGAATTGGCTGTTTGACCTCAAAGCCACCTTTATGCAACATCTGAGTCTTGGGAGAGGCCCGCCTCCAGGATGATGCTGTGAACAGCAGCCCTGAGAGCAGACGGGCAGCTCATGTTTTAGAGTATTTACAGGTATAGGCCTGGAAAAGCACAGGATGTCCACGCTGTTGTTTCATTCTTAAAACCACCCATACGTCTGCTGTCACTCTTTCTCTCTTACAGAAGAGGAAATGGAAACCCGGAGAATAAGGTGTCCAGTATCACATGTCTAAGTAAAGCCAGTTCCCTGGGCCCCAGACCCTTGCTTTTATGACTGCAGGATACTATTCCTCCACTGCCACAGGGCACAGAGCGTCCAGTCACACAGAGAGGGGCCCTAGGCCTGGGCACTCCGCAGGCCTTGCAGAGGCTGGAGATGGACCAAGACCTCTGGCCAGTCTGGAGTGCAGAGAGCCTGTGCATGCCGGCTAGGCTAGGTCCCAGGCAAGGGAAGAAACGCCCCAGCACTGGGAGTGGTAAACACAGGATCTGATGGTGACTGAACCCGGTTCAAACCCTGACCTAGGTGCTTACCAATATATAACTTTGTTACTTCACCTGCTTAAATTAAGTTTCTTCTGTGAAATGAAAATAATAATAGGATCCATTTCACACAAAGTTGTAGCCATAATGCAATAGTGCAGGTGAAGTTCTTAGACGGTACCTGACAGGGTAAGTCTTAGTCACACTAACTAAGTGTAATTGTGGACCAAGAAGAGACGGCGCAGAGCTCAGGAACCTCAGTGCAATACACTGAGCAGCACCGAGTTCCCGTATTCACGTCTGTGACAGCGAATGGACATGTGAAAGGTCACAGGCTCCTTGGTGACTCAATGTCACTGCTGCCAAGAGAGGGGAAGGGGTGGATGGTCCCTGCTTTGCATTCAGAAAGGAAGGAGGCGTTACTGACCGAGTCGACGAGGTTGGCTCTGTGACTTGGCGCTTCACACGGACGCTGTGGGCACAGTTCTCCTGGGCTCCCGTCTGGGTGGAGAGGGGGATGTCCGGGGAGGTGTGGCTGATCTTCATGGAGGAGGGGCTGGGAGGGTCTAGGAAGCCCTCACTGTTCTCCTGCTCATTGATGTCTGTGTCCGTATAGTTAAGAGGCTCCTGGTTGTTGTCTTTGCTACCAGAGAACAGGCCTCGTTCTCGCCACGGAACCCAGCAGAGTTTCCAAGACACGAAGAGAGACACACCAAAGAGAGCGAGGCCACACGCGGTGACCAGAAGGGTCAGCAGGCTCACCGAGATATCTGCAAAGAAGCAGAGATTAAAGGTCAGTATGATTGTTACCCGCCACCCTACCATTGCCCTGGGCAGGTCAAATGGCCCTGCCATCCATCCATCCCTCAGCAGCCAGCTGAGGAAGTAACATGCAGGCTGTGCTTAGAAACAAGAAACAGGTTGCTGTAGCAAGAGACAGGGTATATCCAGGGGGCCTAGAAAGGCCCTGCAAGTCAACCATAACTGCATTACTATTTACACTTTCCCACAGCAACACAAATCATTGATACTAGATGAGCATGGTGGTTTCATTGTCCTTCAAATTTACTGTCATCTCAGAGGGGAAGGGGAGGGTGGACTGGATAAAAGACAGTGAAGAGAGTAGCCAAAGAACATATATACATAGCCTGTGGACACACAAAACAGAGTGGTGAAGGCCAGGGGAGGGGTGGCGGGCTGGGTGGAGGTGGGCAAACGGGGGGAGGGGAAAAATGTAGGACATCATTAATAGTGTCAACAATAAAAAAAAAGCAATTCCTCTGTCATCTCAGAGAGCTGTATAATATCACTTGTGAATTGTGTAAGTACGACTTTCTAAAACAAAACAAAAAACTAGAGTGCTCTTTCCCTATTCTTGGTATCAACTTTTAAGGGTCTCAGCAAAATGAAGCTCAAGCCCTCTGAAGCCTCAGGAATACCCACATCCCAGCGGTCAGGGTGCCCAGGACCAGGGACGGTGCTCCCCGTTTGGATTTCCCCGGTAGCAGGCCTGAGACAAGTATTCAAGGGCAAGTGGTGTGCTGAGATGAAGATAACACAGGGAGGGGAGAAGGGCAGTGATCCAGGGAAGGAAGCCAGAAGTAAAGGGGGCTTTATCAAGCCAGTTACCACCATGGGGGACTGGAGGGTGAGCCTCCTGAGGGGGCTCCACACACTGGGAGTCTCCCCGTACCAGGGGCCAGGGACCAGGGACTTGGGCCATTTATAACATTGGCTCCCTTCAGTCACTGATTTGAGGGAAGTTCTCAGGGGGCATTTCCAACCTGCAGCATGAGTGGCAAAGTAAGCTGCAGTGGCCGAAAAAATCGCACATTCAAATAACACAAAGGCTGGCCTTTGGAGGTCAGGGGGCATGTGCTCAGGTGGTGAGGGTGAGTGTGAGGGGATATGGCAGGGCAACAACAGCATCTGCCACGTACACTGTGGCGCCATGGCCTCAGCTAGGGTCCATGACAGTGTGGTATTTAGTGGCTGAGCTTTTAACTCTCAGAACAAAGCCCAGCCCCCTCCATCCTTCCGCCCCACCTTCTAGTGGACCAAGGAGGCTGAGGTGTCAACCTGAGTCAGTCCTGGCACTGTAACCCCTTCCTTTAAAGGACACCCCTACTGCCCTTACTGTGCTACAAGGACTGTCCCTGGGTTACATCTTTACTGCCCATCAGTAATATTCATACTGTGTTAGCCAAAGTTTTCTCAATCACTATACATGTCAGGCACTGTGCTAGGCTTTGGAGATACAATAGTAAAGAAGAAAATTAGGAATCGATTATTTAATATTCACAAAAATTTTTAATTGATTTCAGAGAAGAAGGGAGAGAAGGAGAGAGATAGAAACATCAGAGATGATGCTCATTGATTGCCTGCCTCCTGCGCATTCCCTACTGGGAATGGAGTCTGAAACCCAGGCATGTACCCTGATTGGGAACTGTGACCTCATAGTTCAGAGGTTGATGTTCAATCATTGAGCCATGGTGGCCGGGCAATATTCACGAATTTAACTACCCACAGCACATCAGCAATCCATGATCCATGACAGTTGCTTAGGCATGCAAATGAACCCTTCCTGCAAACCACTGACCTCCTGAGTCAAGCTGACCTCCTGGCACCCATGTGCTTTTCAATATGACTCTGAAGGTACCTGATCATTGTTATAAAATGATGAAACCATTTCTTCATGAAAAATTGCTCTTGACAGAGAGCCAGCTGCCAGGGCTGGTGATGGATCTACTGCATCTCCTCTATGACTCCCAATCAATCTTTGCCCTAATAGTGAAACAATATCACATCTCTGCTTGAAAACTCTGGGGTTCCAACTTCAACATGGGTAATGAGCTCGAATCTTTGCTACTTTTCTGTTTTTCAGTCCCATGGGAATGAGATGAGCAAATTACATAACAATGGAAAACAAGGATGGGTACCATCAATCCATCCGTGAACCAGTAACACCGAGGAATTTCTGTAATTGCTTTTAAAGGAAAAGCCAATTAGTGCTGCATGCTGAACACAGGCAAATGAAAACACAGGACACACAGGGAAAAGCAAAAATTAAAAAACACAGATGCAGGCCCAGCCAGTGATTGAGCATCAACCTATGAACTAGGAGGTCATGGTTCGATTCCTGGTTGGACAGATGCCCAGGATTGTGGGCTCCATCCTCAGTACGGGATGAACAGGAGGCAGCCAATCAATGATTCTCACCCTTGATGTTTCTCTCTCTCTCTCTCTCTCTCTCTCTCTCTGCCCCCCCTTCCTCCCTCCCTCCCTCCCTCTCTTTTCTCTCTAAAAAACACAAGTAAACAAACAGACAAACAAAAAAACTCAGATGCAGAGCAACTAGGGCAGGGATGAGAAATAGGTAGTCAGTGCGGCAACGTAAAGGGCACTAGAAATCACCCACCATAGAGCCCAGGCAGGTGGTAGGGGAGCATGGTTTGGCCACAGGCTCCCCCTGGCCTGCCAGCTCACACAGGAGTGAAAATGTGTTGGTGTAACTTCTATGATAGGTGGTAGTGGTGGAAGCACAGGGAAGGAGGCCCCATCCCAGCTAATCAGGCTGTCACAGCAATCAACCCCCACTCCCTCTAATCAAATCCGAACACAAAACAGGCTTCACACCCCAGTGAAATCCCGTAATACAGTCTGTAATCCAGGTGGAAGTAAAACCCCTTCCTTAATAACTCCAGCACTGTCCTGATGCAGGCACCAACAGGAGACCCCCAGGATGGCTCGAGGAGGGGTACTCGGGAAGGCAGTAGGGTCAGCTGTACTATCATCCACCCAATATTCACTATTCCCTACCACATCATCCCTCCCTCCTAGGGAGGAGATGAACCCCAAGGCCCCGAAGTTGGTCTTGGCCCCCTGACTTGCTCTAGTCAATGAAATATGAGTAGATATGGCCCATGCCACCTCAGACCTCATGTAAGGGCCGGTCTTCCAGCCTGGGTGCCACCATGGGATGGCTGCGGCAGAGGCGCAAATTCCAGAATGAGCAGGAAACTGAAACCTGACCCGCAGGCGGGCAGAGGCTGCAGCTGATCCACAGATTCACGAGCAACTAAGCAGCTGATGTTTTGTCACTAGGATTTTGAAGGTGTTTGTTATGATGGCAGGAAGTTGACTAGTATACATGACCCTATAATTAATTGTCCAGGGTTGGGACACTTTTAAGAGGGAAAAGAGGCGATATAAATAATACTATGGGACAAGAGACTTCACCCAGGACCGTCCAGGGAAAAGCAGGCCATCTGGTCACTCTGGATTTAAGAATCCCACCTGAACTCTGAACTCATCAGCTCGGTACAGCATGGCCCCTCAGGGCTCACACAGCATAGAAACCATGCTAAATAAATGAAAGCCTAGGCTCACCTTGGCTAGATATCACAGGGTCCTGATCCAGATCAAGAACAACTCCAGCTTGTTAGTTGACTCCTAGCTCATGTACCCAAAAGAAAACAGCTTGCTCTCAAGTCCAGTCATGGGGGATCCATGAGAGCAGATAACTCATCTGTCTACTCAGCATCTAAAAGAGCGCCTGGCACATAGTAGGCACAGTAGGTGAAAGTTTGATGAAGCCCACTAGGAAACCTGTAGCTACCTCCTGTGTTTACCGTGACTTGCAGTGTGGCCGGTAAACTCCAGGAGGCGCTAATCACATTCAGAGTTATAAATTTTTGTGTATAGAGTTGTTACAGAAAGTTTTTGGCAAATGGCAAGAGTGGCTTTTTCTTTTCTTTTCTATTATTTTTTAAATTTTTATTTTTATTGATTTCAGAGAGAAGAGAGAAGGAGAGAGGGAGACAGAAACATCAATGATGAGAGAGAATCATTGATCAGCTGCCTCCTGCATGCCCCCTACTGGGGATCGAGCCCTCAACGTAGGCATGTGGCTTGACTGGGAATCGAACTGTGACTTCCTTGTTCATAAGTCAACGCTCAACCACTGAGCAGCACCGGTCGGGCTGGAGTGGCTTTTTCTTATTCACAGAAAGGTGCCACATGGGTTAGCAGTGGGCCAGGGAACACCTCCCAAGAGAAACCATGGTGACCTACATAGCTACGCCAACCACTAAGCGTGATCATCTGGACTTCTGTTTGCAAGCAGCTCAGGGGGCTCTCTACACAGTATGCTTGTACTTTTCTCTCAATTTTTCAGAAAGAAGTGCTGAGAAAATTGTTATGGAGTCACTAAGGCCATACATACTACCTACTTCAGACCTCACGACCTCAGGAAAGGAAGAGGAAGAATCCACTTAGAATCACAACATAGCTTTATTTAGAAGAACAGAAGTTATTTCTTCAGTAAGGTGGTAGGTACATGGCTATTCATTTTATTGTTGATCTTTAAACTACATGTATTTACTATGTATACTCTTTGGCTTTCATGGTATATTTCATAGTAAAAATTATAAAAATTAGTGACATTCAAAATTGTTATTCTAAAGACAATTTTTCTAAAGAACAGGATTTTTTTTTCTAATTGGTCCTTTTGTCCAAAGCTCAAGAGAATAAGCAGATGGAGATTCAGGGCTAAAAGGAGACAAATGGTAACCCAAGTCTGATCCAGATCGGGGAGGTGCTGCTGCTCGCGGGTGACTGTGCATGAAACTACCCAGAGATGCCACTGAGTGCATCCTCCCAGGGAAGATGTGGCATGGATGCCTCGCAATTACCCTGATCATCAGAACCCTCTTCCACCAGCCACAGGACATAACGTATTGTTAGCCCCAGCCACAGGACATGATGTATT